CAGTGCCATTCAGTCACAGTGTTGTCTGTCACAGATTCTCTCAGTAATTCCTTCTCCATACAAGTCTTTCTCTAGAATATTATTTCAGTATTATGCATTTGAAGAAAAAATATGTTTGTGGAAATACTGATTTGCTTTTTGGCTCTAGAGAAAAAAGTCTACCAATATTACCATTTACCTTAGCTACAGTCTGTAGGGTAAAAGTAAGTATTGGGGGGGCAAATACATTAAGTTGCATTTTCACTGCTGATGTAGGGAGAACTGATATAAATCAACAGCTTTTTAAAATGAAAATACAAACAAGTTTTAAATTAAAAAATTGATTTTAAAATAATTTTTATCAGAGACAGAAGGCAAATCAAGTGCACTGATGGAAGTAGCAAAACTGACTTGCCAAGTTGCTCAAATTCTCCTCAGCTTACACCATGTAAAACCCATTTTATTGACCTTGCTTTTGATATTATACTCTGGATGTAAGAGCAGTGTTTGCTTTGTGATTTTTTTTTTTTTCACAGAAAGCATAAAAATTTATTATATTAAATAGCACTGTATACAGTAATGCATGGATTCATTACTGCATGTATTTCTAGCAGGAAGCAATTCACACTTGAATACCAGTTATAAAGCATACCACAGAAATCAAACCAACTGCGTTTCTACATGGGCCTCAAAGCATAATGTTATGCTGTTTCAAGTCGCACAAAATATCCTCTCCACAGCTGTGCTGGCTCAGCCTGCAGATGCAACCATCAAAGTCAATACTTTTATTTGAATGACACCCCTATCAAAGTGGTGGGGTTTTTTTATACCGGTCCATTTAATCAAGATAAAAGAAAAAAAATAAATTAAAAAATAACATGAATGTATCAATTTTAAGAACATTTTATTATATTTTCCTTTTCACTTATTACTAAATTAATTTCCTGGAAATATTTTGCTGTTTTCCTCCACCTAACATCAATTTGGCTCTGTATTTTGGCCCTTTTCCCTTCCCTAATAGCTTTACACAGAAATACATGACAGAAATAAGAACAGTAATATCAGAAATAAATCGGCTAACAGTATTTATGTGAGTAAAGGTTTCTCTAGACTACTCGTAGCTTTGCTTTTGGGAACTGGCTGAAACAAGGCCACACTATTACTAAAGTCAAACCCAATAGTGTATTTTATTATTTTGTGACTTCTGCAGTAAAGGATAATATGTTTCTTTTGTGTCAACCATTTAATTCCAAAGTCTGTGGACGATTTTGTTACAACAAAAAATATATCTTCAAGCTCTTTAAACCCACTTGGGTACACTTATAATTTCTGCATAACTTGTGCTTGTCACACATGAGCATCTACTCTTACTACAAACAGAAGACTAGTGGCATTGCTGGTAAAGTGTAATTGAGTTTGGCCCATCATATATTGGAAAGGAGTAAACCAAACCAAATCAACAAAAAAAACAAACACAAAACCAGCAAAGTGTGTATTTTATTATTTTATATCCACTACCTCTGGTAGGAGAGGAACCCATTTTTTTTTCACATTCTTCAGAAATAATAGCTGGTTGATCAGTGACTGCTTAAAATTAATCAGCCCTGTACACAAATCACTGCATTACACTGACAGCAGGCAAGTATACAGACCTGAAAGCAGTCAGACTACTGTGGAAACTTGACAAATGGTTTAAAACTATTGCTAATGGCTTATAATGAAAAGCTTGAATGGCAGGGGCAGAATTAAGAAAGTACTTGTTACATGGTTTTTGGTGGGTTTTTTTTAATTTCTATTTTTACAAATTCATCTGTAAGCTGTTCACTATAGTAGAATCCCAAAACGCATTCTTCACAGAAACATCTGTGTGCCACCAAGACACTTTTGTCAAAAACATATATGTCACCTAGAAGGCACATAGAAATGATGCATATGAAGCTCCTGAGCACAGAATCATAGAAGAGAATCATAGAATCACAGAATCATTAAAGTTATAAAAGATCTCTAAGATCATCAAGTCTGTCAACCCAACACCACCATGCCCACTAAGCCATGTCCCCAGCTGCCACATCTACACATTTTTTTAACACCTCCAGGGATAGTGACTCTACCACTTCCCTGTGCAGCCTGTTCCAATGACTGACCACTCTTTCAGTAAAGAAATCTTTCCTAATATCCAATCTAAATTTCCCCTGGTGCAACTTGAAGCCATTTCCTCTTGTCCTATCACTTGTTATTTGGGATAAGACACCAATCCCCACCTGAATACGACCTCCTTCCAGGTAGCTGTAGAAAGCCGTAAGGTCTCTCCTCAATCTCCTGTTCTTCAGACTAAACAATCCCAATTCCTTCAGCTGCTCCTTGTAAGACTTGCGCTCTGGACCTTTCACCACCTTTGCTGCCCGTACACAGAGACTGCTTTTGAACATGCTGCACCTGGTGATCCCCCACCCCACAGCCCTACCACCACGGGCCAGCCCATCCCAGGGTCCCTGCTGGTACCTACCGCGCAGCCCCT